GTGTGTGTGTGTGTGTGTGTGTGTGTGTGCGTGCGTGTGCGTGTGTGTGTGAGAGAGAGAGAGTTTCATCGTGTTTTCCAGACTGCGTCGTCTGTTCTATGCTGTTGTTGTTGTTGTTGTTTGTAAACTCAGCCTTTTCAGATTTTTTGTGATAGAAGAAGGTGAGTTAGTTAGATGTGACAATTAATACTGTGCAAACCCAGGCTTATCTCCTTATGCTGCGTTTATGTTGCAGCGGAAATCAAAACTGAAATCAGACTGACTTCAGGTACGAGTTGAAACTGTTCCATGTTGTCAGAATGTCGAAAAAAAGTGTTTCTATTTTTATGCTCTGAACAACAACACTTACAACAATAGTGTTCTACGCTGTGTTTTAAGTGTACTAACAGCATTAAAATATGTTGCCTAATAATTACTATAAAGTACTACAAGTACGACTGACTTGATGTAAAGTACAGAACTGCTAAAACTGTAAATTCTGACCTCCAGTTGAAGTGGGATCCCACCATCACTGGAACACACTCGCCTGTCCAATTAAAAAAAAATGAGAACCTCTATTCTGTTCTGCCACTCCACATGAGGTGTCCGAGTCCTCAATGCAATGAAGAGACGAGTCCACCATCACAACCCCACAACCCCCAGAGTTATCAGCATCTCTGGGCAAATGTATTCTGTCATATGATGACAGCTGCTACTAATTTAAAGAAGTACAGTTTCTGGTGACATTTCATGGCCTTCAATGTGGAGAAAAACCCATCTGACCTCTTACAGCAGAACAGTTACTGAAATACAGGTGGTCACAGAATTTGACAGCTGCTGTAGGAAAATGTGACCATACTGTAACTTTCAAATAAAGAGTAAATAAGAGCACATAGCCGCGGTGTTATGACGACGTGCCTGAAAAGCTCTTCGCAAATTTTTCACACTTATGTGCGGCCTGGACATCAGAAATACTGAATATTGGATATTTAAACCAGGTGTGGTGAAAATGCTGCCCAAGGCAACATGAGGAAGACTCCTGGTAAAGATAAAGACCAGGATGAACAAGAACTGGCTTAAGCTGGGCAAAAAATATAGATGGGGGCTGCATAACAAAAAACAGCTGCATTTAATAACTGAAGAAAAAAATGCTTCAACGAGCAAGATGAATTTATTGTATAAAACAATGAAAACGTTCTAAACAAGCCATCCAACTACATTTGGAGCTCAAGTTCACAAGAGAAACTGATTTTCAACATAAAGTCTCTGTTTGCAAAAACCAGCAAACAAAATCAGCAACATTAGCTCACAAACACAAGCAGCTTCAACCCAGTCTTTTAATTTGGGTCTTTCAAGTTCCTGCAGTCATGGAGATGTCTTCTAAAAAATACATACCCTCTAAAGAGGAAGAAGAACAAAGCATCTTTTTACTCAGCAGCACTTTTTCTGGCTCGCTCCTTCTCAGACAGCTAGCTTTATACGTTTCCTTTATGTTTGTGCAGTGCCGTCATGCTTGTGCTCAGATTACTTTCCTTAATGTAGAAAATGAGCTTTTACACAGAGGACAGACGGCACAACACACGTTTTAATACCTCATCACAGAATCATATTCAAACAGTTACCAGTGTGTTTCAGCACCATGGACAGCACCTCTCAAAAAACGTTGAGTAATATGGTAGACAACCATTCTTTCCTGTCAGTGTTTGTGAGGACTTCACATTTACTTTTATTTTGTTACATTCACAGCCTAAAAATGATACTTTTACTTATTTTCTTTAATGTTTAACACTTAGTTATACGTTACAATTTATACATGACCAAACTCGTCATGAAAGGAGTTGTTCATGCGCTCTAAAAAATGAAGTGTTGAATTTACAAGTTATGTCAACAGGTTCCATTAAACCAAGTTGAGCAAATGTAAAGCAGTTTACATATTTTCCTTAAAAGAAAACATGTAAACAGCCCAACTTACTCAACTTGGTTTAGTGGAACCAGCTTGGTTAAGCTAATTCAACATTTTATTTCCTGAAGTGTGTGTACAAAGCGTGTTTCAGTTCAATTAAATAACTGTATTGATCCCAATGGAAAATTAAATGTTGTTTTAACTCATTATCCTGGTTTCTTTAAAGAGTTATTACAGATGGCTACGGGCAGAAACAGTCCCCTGTAGTGGTCTGTCTTACAGAGGATCTCAGTTGTAGTGTGACAGTCTGATGAGGAGGATGCTCATCCATCGTATGGTCAGAAAGCCTGTCAGTGAGACACTGGAGTCAGAGATATAATCCTGCAGCCATATCTCAGTGAAACACATAATACTTCATTCCCAGTACTCTGGCTGGGTTCTTGTCAGGGCTTGGAGTTAGCCCAGCTTGTTCCCCAATGATCTCACATTGCCCATCATGATTGATGGAAGAGATGGTTTCAACTTCCTCCTTCTGTGTCTCTTGTCTTTACTCCTGCTCTGCATCCACAGCACCACAGCCTTTTATTTTCCTGTTTATTGTGAGCAGTTTTATGATCATGATTTTCAATATTTTTTTTGCCAAAGTCAACATTATCTGTGAAGGTGTTTTTACTTTTTACTTAGTTGTTTATTTCAAGTACTGTATGTACCCTTGCTTGTGAGGGAAAAAAAGCTTTGCCTCCTGCATCACACACAAGTTCATGTTATCAACATTTTAATGACTCTGTGTTGTTTGAAACAAACTTGCATGCTTGTTTTGGCAAAAGTGTTTGACAGCAGATAACCTCATTTAGCCAAGCTTGGGAGCAGCATGAGAGACACACTGGCTTGTGCTCCTCGGTGGGTGGTTTGTGTGCAAGAACACTTTACTAAATTTTGAAGTGGTAACATAAAAATACAGCTCAAGTGCATCATGTATTGAGGCCATTAAGAAAGTTGTTGCCTATTTACAATAGTTTATATGCTCACAACTTATTTATGGGGTGAATGAAATTCTTTTAGATTAGGCTGCTCAGCACCTGCCCTGTCTGG